ATAAATCTTACTTGGTTGTGGTGAGTTATCTTATGGATACATTGTAGGATTCTAATAGCTAAATTTTTATTGAGGATTTTTGCATCAGTGTTCATTAGAGAGATTGGCCTGTAGGTTTTTTTTTGTGTGTGTTGTCCTTGTTCGGTTTTGGTATTAGTGTAATATTGGCTTCATAGAACATATTTGATATTATACCTTCCTTCTCAATTTTTTGAAAGAGTTTGTGAAGGACAGGCACTCAATCGTTTCTGAATGTTTGGTAGAATTCATTTGTAAATCCATCAGGTCCTGGGCTTTTGTTTTGAGGGAGGCTTTTGATTACCATTTCAATTTCACTGCTTGTAATTGGTCTGTTTAGGTGTTCTATTTCTTCTTTATCTACCTTTGGGTGATTGTAGAGTTGTAGGAATTTGTCCATCTCTTCTAGATTGTTGAGCTTGTTTGCATATAACTGTTTCATAGTAGTTTGTGATTATTCTTTTGATTTCTGCTGTGTCTGTTGTGATTTCTCCTCTTTCATTTGTGATCCTATTTATTTGTGCTTTCTCTCATTTTTCCTTTGTGAGCCTGGTTAGGGGGTTGTCTATTTTTTTGAAGAACCAACTTTTGGTTTCGTCAATTTTTTGGATTGATTTTTTAGTTTCTATTTCATTGATTTCTGCTTTGATTTTTATTATTTCCTTTCTTCTGCTGGTTTTGGGGTTTTTTTTTGTTGTTTTTCTAGTTCTTTGAGATGTGAGATTAGGTTGTTTCTTTGAGTTCTTTCTTGTTTCTTGATGTGAGCCTGTATTGCTATATATTTTCGTCTTATTACTGCTTTTGCTGCGTCCCATACATTTAGGAAATTGGTGTCCTCCTTGTCATTCAACTCAAAGTATTTTTTAATTTCTTTTTTCATCTCTTCATTACTCCAGTGGTCTTCCAGTAGAGTGGGTTTCAGTCTCCATGAGGTGGGAGGGTTCCTTGCCTTCTTTCTATGGTTTATTTCTAGTTTGATGCCTTCATGGTCAGAGAAGATGGTTGGTATGATTTCAATCTTGGTGTATCTGTTGATGTTGGTCTTGTGTCCCAGTATGTGATCAATTCTGGAGAATGATCCGTGTGCACTTTTTTTTTTTTTTTAAATAGAGGCATGTTTTTATTTATTTATTTATTTATTTATTTTGTTTTGTTTGTTTGTTTATACATGCACTGGGTACAGTCAGAAGCGCGGGAGGGTGAGAGAATTCACCAGAGCCAGAGCGGGGAGCAGAGCAGGCAGAAGGACCGAAGTACACTGCTGAGGGGAGCAGCGGGCGGCAGGAGAGGTCTGTGCACCATGCGGGACCCGCCTCCGGTGGTGGCCGGGGAGCAGCCGTGGATTGAACCCGCGCTGCAGAGGCTGCGGGCAGCTTCGCAACCCAGCGTTCAACCGCTGCGCCACCAGGGAGGCCCTCTTTTTAACTTTTTGAGCTTGAAATCTGTTTTATCTGATATAAGTATAACTGTTCCTGCCTTCTTTTTTGGTCCATTTGCTTGTAGGATTGTTTTCCATCCTCTTACTGTCAGTCTGTTTTTATCTTTTGTAGTTAAGCGAGTTTCCTGGAGACAGCAAAAGATTGGATTTTGTTTCTTAATCCAGCCTGCGACTCTGTCTTTTTATTGAAGAGTTTATTCAGTTTCATTTAGAGTTAATATTGATATGTTAGCGTCTGTATTTGCCATTTTGTTTGTCTTTTCTTTGGTCTTATTTATTTAATTTTTTTTTTTTTTTTTGTCTTGTTTCATTCTCTGTTGGTTCTGGCTTTAGGACTCCTTGTATTATTTTTTGGAGTGGGGGTCTAGCCATAATGAAATTCCAGAGTTTCTGTTTGTCTGGGAAGGTCCTTATTCTTTCTTCATGGACAGAAAGCTTTGTGGGATAGAGTATTCTTGGTTGGCATTTGCTGTCTTGGAGTCTGTTGACTTTGTCCCTCCACTCTCTCCTTGCCCGTCGTGTTACTTTGGAGAAGTCTGATGTCAGCCTGATTGGTTTTCCTTTGTATGTTATCTGTTTCTTCCCTCTTGTCAGCTTCATTATTTTTCCCTTGTCTTAGATTCTTGGGATCTATGTGTCTTGCTGTATTTTTCATCATGGAAGTTTGGTGTTCTTGTTTCTTGTATGTCTATTTTCAGCTCCTTCATGTTTGGGAAGTTCTCTTCAATTATTTCCTTGAATATTTTCTCTGTTCCTATGTCTCTCTCCTCTCCTGGGATTCCTATAACTCTTATATTTCCTTTCCTCATGGAGTCAGATAGTTCCTAAAGTCTTTCTTCATTCTTTTTTCTTCATTCTTCTCTTTCCTTTTCTGTTTTGGTTCTTTTTATTTCTTTGTCTTCGAGAGTACTTATTCGTTCTTCCATTTCATCTATTCTGCTTTCACTGCTTTTCCCAGAGGTCTTTAGCTCCTCCATTAATCCTTTGATGTCCTGCATTTCTTTCACTTCCCTCTTTAGGGACTCAATTTCATTCTTCTGATCATTGATTATTTTTCCCTTATCATTGTTTTCCTTAATGACTTCTGTCAGTTTTTTAATCATGGCAATTTTAAATTCTCTTTCTGGAAGGCTCAGTTCTTCCAAGTCACTGTTGTTGCATTCTGGTGGGTGATTTTCATTTTGTGGTGTGTCTTTTCCCTGAGGACTTGCTTGGTTGCTTGTAGTTTTTCTTCACCCTGCTGCTTATTTTCTAATTTGTCCTATGTGTTGGGACACTGTGTTGCTGGTACTGGCCGGCATCTTTTTGGTGTGCTCTTTCTGGGATGTCAGAAACTGTTGGTCCAATCAAGTCAAATACTGTTATGCCAGAAGTCCAGGAGGGCAGTGGTACTATGAATATGTTAATGGTTGCTGTCACAGAATATCTCCTCCTTCTGTATTTAATTCCAAAGGTGTGTCTTGAGGTCCCACAGACTGCCCTGGAGGTGGGGTAGCTGGATCGCCAGCTGGGCTTCAAATCACTGGATCCCCCTCTGGGCTCTGACTCCCTGCCAGGCAGGTCCTGGCTTGTGGGGGCCTTCAGCTCACCTTGGCTGTGGGGGCAGCCCTTTCCCAGTTCCAAGCAGTCTCAGTGGTGCCGGACGCAAAGGCAGAGATTCCTATTCTGTAAACTTTATTTCTATCCCTTTTAACTTATGTGTCTCTTTACCCCTGAAATGAGTCTCTTGTGGCAAAATATATTTGGGTCTTGTTTTTTGGCCATTCTCCTTTGACTGGTGAATTTAGTCAGATTGCTGTTAAGGTGATAATTGGTAAGAATGTATTACTGTTTTGCTCATTATTTTTCTGGTGGTTTCCGAAATTCTCTGTTCCTTCTTTCTTGGATTTCATGGCTTTCTTTAGTGGTATGTTTAGATTTTTGTATGTATTTTTACTACAAGTTTTGGTTCTCTGATTGCCATAAGATTCAGATGTAACATATGTGTATATTCTTCCATTTTGAGTTGTTCTGTAGTTGTTTTCTCATGATATCCTTTTTTGGTTTTGTTATCAAGGTAGTAGTAGTGATCCCTGAAAATGATTTTTCATGTGTTACCTCCTTTTCTGTTTTTGGGAAGGGTTTGTGAGAGATTGATGTTAATTCTTTAAATGTTTTGTTGAATTCAACAGTGAACATGTAGTTGTGGGTTTTCGTTTAGGGGGGAAGTTTTTAGTTTTTTAAATTATTGTTTCAATTTACTTAGTATAGATATCTTCAGATTTTCTGCTTTTAAGTCCATTTCAGTGTTTAGGTCTTTCTGGAAATTCATCTATTTCATGGGTTTTGGTATTTTTTTTTTTTTTAAGAAATGTCTGTTTCCAATTATTTGTTGCACACATATATCTGTAAATACAATTGATTTGACAATGTACACTTCAACCTTACTATTCTCACTTATCTTAATATCTCTTTTGTAGATTTTTGGGCTTTCTTATATAGATTATCATGTATATTCTGAATAGAGACAATTTTATTTTTCCCTTACCAATCTGTATGTCTTTAATTACATTTTCTTGCCTTATTGTACCAACTATGTGATGTTGAATAGGAATGATAAAGCAGATATCCTTGTCTTTTTTCCAATCATAGGGGAAAAAGATTGAGTCTTTCACCATTAAGATTGTTATTAATTGTAGGTTTTTAATATATGCACTTTATTAGATAGAGCTGATTCTCTTGTTTCTAGCTTGCTGAGTTTTTATTATGAATCATTGTTGAATTTTGTGAAATGTCTTTTTTTTATCTACTGATGTGATCATAGGGGTCTTTTGCTGTAGTTTGTTGATGGGGTGATTTATACCTATTGACTTTGCATATTAGATGAACGTTATTTTACTGGGAAAAACTCCAGTTAGTTTTAATTTGTTATCCTTTTAATATATGATGGATTTACTCTGCTAATACTTTGTAAATGATTTTTATTTATTTATTTTTTAAGATTTATTTATTTATTTATACAAGCACTGGGTACAGTCAGAAGCGCGAGAGGGTGAGAGAATTCACCAGAGCCAGAGCGGGGAACAGAACAGGCAGACCGATGAAATAAACTGCTGAGGGGAGCAGTAGCGGGCATAGCAGGAAAGGTCTGTCGCGCCATGTGGGACCCTCGCAGGCGGCTGGGGATCGAACCGGCGCTACAAAGGCTGCGCACAGCTTTGCAGTCCAGCACTCAACTGCTGCGCCACCAGGAGAGGCCCTGTACATGATTTTTATATCTAAATTCATCAGCTTGAATTATTTAGTGTTTACATAAGTAGCAAGTACCAAATAATTCCACTTCTAGTAAATGTGAACTATGAAATTTGAAATAACCCTCTTGCTGAAGACAAGTAGAAAAGCTGAAACAAACAATTTTAAAGTCATCATAGAAGTATCAGACAGTAAATGTGATATAAATTTAAGGACAGGGAAACATATTCCCACCTTCTATTTTAGTTATAAAGATCATTTTTATAAGGTATTTTTGAAACGAGCATAGATTTCTTTTCTCTTTGTTTCAAAGGTAGACATAAATACATTAACCCACAACTTGCAGACTGTAGAGGAAAAGAATAAGCAACTGGCAGATCAAATGGCTTCTCTAGAACTTCAGCAAATCACTTCTGATTACCATGGGGTGGGTATAAAAGGTCAGTCTAAAGTATGAATTAATGATTAATGAGTTAAAAAAAATCAGAAGTCAGGAGATGAGTTTTATTTAATAATTATCACAAATACTGAATAACTGGCTATATATGGCATAAATTCCTACAGTATTCAAATAATAAAGGATTATTCTAATAGTGAGCACTGTATTAAAAAATAAATATTTAAGGTAGCTATTTAACATTTGCTTACACAGATGAACTGTAATGTTGAAAAGCACAAATATTTCCAATTTTTAAAAATATTTCCTCTTCCATAAATTGTGAGGAAGAACCTTGTGTTTTTTTTCCTGTGACACTTCCCTCTATTAGGGAATCAGTAAAATGTTTGAATTCTAAAAAGCATTGGACAAAGTCAATGCTTTACAAGTAAATGGTAGAATTCTTAGAACATCCCAAGTAAAGGGGATTTAAAGAGATAATCATTCTTTTAAGTAGCTAATGTGCTGCCTGTATGCTTTTTGAATACTCAAGAAGAAATGTTACCGCTTTTATAACATACGAATTATCTTTCTAAGTTGCATAGACGCCCCTAATGTGAGTTTATCTTAATCTGAGCTAAATTCTCAATCTGTCATAAACTGCTCAGTACCTCCCTATTAAAATTTACAAAGTAAATCTAAATTCTCTCGTATTTTCAGGGCTTTAGGGTCACACTTTTAGAATTCCATTTTGACTATGACTTTGGTTGTGATCCTTAACATCTCTGTGCCTCAGTTTCGTAATCTGAAAATATATGGATATATTATTATTAAGGGGTTGTTTGAAGATTAATACATGTAGAACATGTAGCAGATAGCTAACATTTATTCTTTTTATTATTTTTTAAATAATAAATTTTATTTTTATATTCCCCATACATTTGCAACCACCCCCATTCTGACCCCCATCCCTCCCCTCCCGCCCCCCACCCCCCAAAAAGTGTCTCCGGTTCATAGTTTTTTGTTGATTTTGATGAATAACTATAAGAAAGTGAATTCTTCCTATCTGAACTCTTTAAAGAGCTTTCACTTTCCTATTGGAGTGACAAGATGCGTTAACTCTGACTCCTAGTTCTCAGACCAACCTTCCCTCCCATAAGACTAAAGTATATCCATGTCCTTGCTTCTCTGCTCAATTTGATCTTGGTCTTTCTGGAAGAACGCATCTCAGTCTTTCTGATTTTTTTCATGTCTGCACTGTCAGTGAACAGACCTGTGACCTTGCTGTTTAAGTAACTTTAACAGATCTTGCCAGTGAATTGTCAATATTGATTCTTGCCTGTTGACCATACACCTCTTTAACATTTTCAAGTGATAATCCACATCTTAATTCTGGGTTGCAGTTCCATGCCTCCATATAGAATCTTCTGTGATCAAGCATTCTTGGAAGTTTGTCAACTGGCCATATGAGTCTGAGGAATGAAGTTGGTATTTCAGAATTAAAAAAGAAATTCTTAGCAATATAGTTAAACTGATGCCATTCAATGCAGGCAATGAATTTTTGTACATTGAAGTTAAAATTTGAAATTCTCAACACTAGAAGTTACTACCTCCTAGTATAACTTTCATTGTTTTTAGTTTTTGAGATACATGTGAGTTTGTATTGAGGATGCCACTCCACAAATTTGAACTCACATAGTCCTGATTTCAACCCTTGGCCCCATGCACTAGCGACATGGCAGGTCCTTAATGTTTATGGACTTCAATACTAAGGAGATCACCCTTAAGTGTGGGATTCCCATCACTACTGTGCATTACTTTTATTAGAATAATTACTGCATCTGCTATAAATTGACCTATTCATGCATCTTCCTTCTCTCTTCTAATGCAAAAGCAGTAGTTATAGCCTAGCACAGTGACTAACGCATAATAGATGTTGAAGAAACAATGACTAGAACAGTCATGTTTTTCTTGCCAAGATAAGAGGATTAAATGTCGTATTTTGTGTAAAGTGCCATCACAGGACTAACATACAGTATAGTATCCATGTATAAAATTCTTTTTCTCAGATTTAATAATTTTAGATTTATGTTTCCCATTTTAACTTTTAATGTACAGTTTAAGTTCTTCACCACAGGCAGGCATGCAGAGAAGCATAGTGCAAAAAGATCCAAACATGTGGAGGTTTCTTATTCTGATATCTAGTTAAATGACTCTCCTTCCCATTTACAAGTTTTAAGCATTTTAAATAGTAGAATTAAACAGAAATAACTTCCTACACAATTAGAATGTTAACTTGAAATGAAACAATGGATTAAATGTAGTCCTTAAAACCAGGATGACATTTAGTCATTATACACCAATGCAGATGTCTGAGTTGATTCCATCTGCTGGGGCCCAGTCACACTGTTGATAAATATTTAGAATAAATCCCTGCTTCCAACTTGGTAAATAGCTTTACCAAGATGCCAATACCTTCTGTGTTCTAATAGCTTTTAGTAACTTTAACAGCTTATGTGGATTTTTAAAATAATTTTAGAAATCCTGTGTCTTACTACTGAGTTTGAGCAGCTTACTTTCCATATCTTAGAAAATCCTGTTTGCTACTTGCTTTTCCAAGGTGTGATAGCTTGTTGTTGTTTATTTCATATGCTGTTTCTCAGGTAATTCCCCAGTTTCTGTTTTTCTCTCCATATTAATAATATTTATAGTATATTACCAAGATTTTTTAAGTAAAAGTTAATCTCGGTTCTGCTTTTCACAATTCCAAATCTGCTAATATTCTCTCATGAGTGGTCTCTATTTTCTTGTCCATCACTTCTTTAAGTACAGGGTCTATTTAAGTAATCTGAAAATTGTGATTTACATTACTGTCTTATCTACCTAACATTTGGAAAAACTGCTTTTTGTCATAAATTTGTTTAAGCAACTTGTGTCAAATACCACATTTTGATTTTTCTTGGATAGTTTTCAGTTACCCTTACAGTAACATTCTCTTTGGTAGCAAAAAGGGAAAAATTGTTTTTAAAACACATATAAAATATTATTAGGATCTCTTTACACCTTTGACTAAAACAGAATTTTGAGGAAAAGGTACCTTTAAAATTCCTGACTACCATTTAAGATATCAGAACATCAAAGTTATTCCCCAGACAACCTTTCCACCTTTCAAGAAGGCAAGCAAAGTTGTTTTGGAGTGTTTAGTACTTATTGTAGCTGGCATATTTTAGGTTAAACCTAGCTCCTGGTGTTTTGTATATTATGCCTACACTTCAGAGCACATTGAGACACAATGATTTATAGAACTTGAAACTGAATTTTAAATAGTTATTTTGTTATGGTGTAGCTTATTTTGTAGCATTATTAGCCATCCTTGCAGCTTATTTTTTGCTGAAGACTTGTCAAAATATAATTCCAAATTATGGTGTTGCATTTGTGGAATGACTTTACATCACAGTTTCCAAAATAGAACAACTATTGTTAAGGAGGATTATGTGTGTTACAGACAGAAAATTGATGATTAATTTTGTAACATATTATTAGTCTTCTATTTATTGATAGCAACTACATTTCCTTAGGTTATTTTAAAACTAATACTTCATTGGTCTGAAAACTTAAAAAATTTTTTTTCTTTGCTTTAATAGCAACACATAATGATTTAAAAACACAAACGCCCACTGATACCTAATATCTGGTATAACTTTCATAGTGAAAGTGCATAATTTTAGAGTATATGGTATACAAGGACTCATAACTCTTTATGGCTTTTTCATATAATTTTATTTAGCCTAGAATGTCTAAAATGGTCTTCTTGTCATGGCAACTACCAAGGAGAAAACAATTCTCTAAACTAGAGTACCCTCTTAAACAATACATGCTATTTTGAAAATATTTTCAACAGAAGATAAAAAAGTTATGTTATAATAATCTAGTTTTTTTGCTTTTATTTGGAAACAAGTGTGGATTCACAATATTGACATAAAGTGCTACCACAAGTGATAACACAATGATTAAAATGGTGATAATGAGGAATAGCTCATGTAAATTAATACCCCTATAAATATGGTTTCTTCTTTACTGATTTCCCTAGAGTTGGACATAAAAGTCTAAATTCTTTGGACTGAAATGCGTAAAAGTCCTCCTGCTCTGTTATTTGCAAATTAAGCAAATGTAAACCCAAATAGTGAATTATATCAATATAGGGTACCAACATAAGACTTTTGAACTCAAGATTTACTGCTAATAATCTACGATGCAACTGGATTGCGTGAGTGATTAAGGACTTATGGTCTCAGTCATATTTGTTATGTACTTATTATCCCCCGAGTTGATTTATAAACATGATTTTGACATGGAAAACAGCAACATTTCATAGTAAGATTGATTACGGAGAATGAAAATTTCCATTTAATTACTATTTTCAGGAACATTGTTCCTGAAATAACAATAAGGTCCAGAACTTAATCTAAGAAAACTATAGTTTGTATTTATTTCTTCTGACAGTTTGAGTAAAAAGACATGGAGGAAAAAAAAGCTCATTATTAATGGCTGAGTGATGAAAATATGTATTTTCATGTAACATAGAGCCTTTGATGATGTCCTAGATAATACTATGTTGAATGATCAGTCTCAGAAATACATTTGTTTAGTCTTTATTTTTTTGTTGACTATTTAGTATGGTAGCAGAAGTGTCTCCTAAAGACCGAGTGGTTGTGGTCATTTGCAGCTCCCATTTTCATTTTTCTTAAACTGTTGATGCAATCCAACCCAAATGTGGGATAGTTGTAACTATAATTACTGATACAACAAAAGTAGAACAAAGAACAGCAAACTGAGAGCCTTAAGGCAGGCATTTGTTTATTAGCAGTTTTTATTATTAGCACTATAGTCAGCTATCTAGGGAAAGACTAAGAAGCACCACAAACAAATATATTACTATGGAAATGGTAAGGGTATACACCTGTTTAAAAAAGAAAAATGATTATGCCATACTGTATCTAGAGATACCAATAATGGTATTTGCTTTCTTAGCTTGCCCAACAACAGGTCGATAAGGTCTTGGGAAAAATCACTGAAAGTAAAAATAAACTGGCCTATGAAAAGGGACAACTCCAGGTATGAGATTTTCTTATTTTTATTTTATTTTTTAGTACCAGATGTCAAGCTAAATCTCTCTGGATGTTGAGAAAACATAGCCTGGTCATTTACTGATTCTGTAGCTTTGAACAAGTCTTTGAATCTCCCTAAGTTTGTTGCCTTATTAAAATCCAGGTGATTTCCATTCACATACTTACACTAAAAGCTAAAATTGCAAAGTTCAAGCCCATTTTAAGCTTTATTACAGTTATTTTGTGCATTGTCATTCATTGAGAATATAAAAAGCTTATGTTTTTTTAATGCTGAATTTGTATGACATTCTTAAATAACCTTGGAAATTGGGACTCTGAGGCAATAGAACAGACTTGAGTGAATGGGACAACACTATTTTTTTGCCATCTGTGGGTTTTGGCCCTACAGTACCCACAGAATAGGAGATCTACTATTGAATCGGCTAGCCCTTCCTTGAGCCAACTCAGTAGAAACATTGAAATCTAAATTAGTGGTTCTTGGTTAAACAGCAGAATCACCTGGGGAAATTTTAAAACTTCTCATGCTGAGAAGTATGAGTTCTGCCATTTACTTTGAAATGAGTCATTTTAAAAAAGAAAGAATAGCCTAGTAGATGAATATGGAAATGACAGAATGGATAAATAAGTGGTAAGCATAAAAAAAAAATGGTAGAATGTGGATTCCACCATTAACAATACAATTACTGTTTTTCCCCCTGTATATTAAAATTATGCATAAGAAAAGATGGGGGAGAGGTCCCCATGCTAAGACTTGTACCCCAGAGCAATTAAATCAAAATCTGGGAGTAAGTCCTAGGCTTTAACATTTTTAAGCTCCCAGATGGTCACAATGTACAATCATAGCTGAGGACCAGTTAGGCTGGGCAGCTATAGAATTGATTTGATAAGTAATCTCACTAGAGACTTGTCAAACACTTCAGTGTTAATCTCATCTGCTACCCCTATGTGCCTCTTGAGCAGAGGAGCTAAGACCAGAAGTCAAAATGACAGACTGAAGGATGGCTGATCAACATACTGTTTTACAAGCATGGTTTTCACTAAAAAGATAAAGCTATTTGACTACTATTGATATTGGTGTGCTTTTAATGAATATTTCATTTAATGTATCATTTAAGTGTAATAATCTATACTTTGTAACCTTCTGCAAGTCTTAATTTTCTTGAATTTCCTCTCACCTGTAAAATAAGGGAGATAAGCACACCTGTCTGCTTCTTGCTGAGAAAGATAGTCAACATTACAGATTGGTTAGAGGAATTATCATAGGTACAGAACTTTCTCTTTTGTGAAAATAATGACCCCATAGATGCTATGATCATGATTTTGACCTTTTAACTTCCCAAGGAAAATTATTTTAAGTACATAAGAAAAATCCCAAATGCTCATAGCAGACTTAAATTCAAATTTTAGCTGCAAAGGAAATACATTTCAAAATTTATTAATCTGATATTACTGTGGTTACATAGTCCTTATAATCTTAAAGAAACTGTATGTCTTTTTTTTCTGCTATATTCCTATAAGATTTTTTGATAGTCTTTGAAAATGGAAATTATCAATTCACTGGTGTTTTTATGTCAAGTCTTCAATTGCATATTGCACTGATGGAAAATGCTTATAACATACTACTCTTGCAGGAGAATTTAAAGGAGGAGCTACATGCTAAACATGATGAAAACAATACTCAAATGGATTTAACTGATTAAAAAACATGAATCATTAGATAAAAAAATGCATTTCAGGATTGACTAAATGAATGATACATTTACTGGGTTTTAGGTGTTTAAGTAGACTCTGAGAAACTTATACAACATTCAAATGTGGTTTGAAATTATTTTCAGGGATATATGGCGTTCTGTTACATAAAAATCTGCCACCATATATTCTTCTGTTAATGGATATTTAGAGTTTTCAGTTGCTTACAAACAATGCTGACATGGTGAATTCTTGTATATGTCTGTGTAGAGAAATGCAAAAGATTCTGTAGGTTAATTATAATTTTTAGGAGAATTACTGGGGTGTAGAATGTATAAATTTTGAATTTTTCTAGTTTGTCAAGATTCTCCTAAAAGTAGTTATACCAATTCAAAAAGCAGTATATGTGGGGGTAGATAGTTACATGTGTTAACGTAGATGAATATCATAATAACACTGTCTACTGTTTAGGGATACATTGATAGTATAATTATTAAAAAGGAATGGGCATAATAAATAGCAAATTCATTATTTGATTAATTTTAGGATGGTGTAAAGAAGTTTCTTTGTTGTAGAGGATTTCAACTGTATTGGTAATGTTTTTGCTTTTTTTAATTGAGATAGAATAGATGGGATATTAGAGTATATAAAAGATTTCCAATAGTTTTGTTGATTTTATTTTATATAATTCTTACATCATTTTTCATTTTTGCATAATGTATGCATTTTCATTTTGGTTATATTCCCCATACAATTCCCACCCCCCTCTTCTGACCCCAATCCCTCTTCTCCTCCCCCCACCCCCCACTGTAGTGTGTCTCTGGTCTATAGTTGCTTGTTGATTTTGATTTTTACTTTATTGCAATTAGTTCCTGGTCCCTTATTTAGGTTTTCTAAATTCCTGCTATGAGTGAGACCATCCGCTATTTTTCTTTTTCTTCCTGGCTTATTTCGCTGAGCATGATCCCTTCCAGCTCCATCCATGGTGCTGCAAATTGCATTCTGAATGATTAGACTCACTCCAGTCTACCACTGGCCCTATCACTTTTACACCAATTGGCTTCAATATTGTATTTGCTACCTAGCCCTAATAAGTGAATGCATTTGTGAGTTTAGAACTATTAGGTAAGGATTTTGTTTTCCTTTGATTTAGTAAACTTTTTGTTGAACTGTAACACATATACAGAAAAGTACATAGCCTAATGAATTTTCACAAAGCAAAGCTGCCTACTATGTGATCAGCACTCAGAACCACCATATAGCTTTTTCTAATCAGATCCCCTAAAAAGGGTAATTACCATCCTGACTCCTAACACCCCAGATTAATTTTACCTGTATTTGAGCTTCATATAATAATGAAATAGATATTTTTGTGTGTCTTGTTTCTTTCATTCAGCTTTATAATTGTGAGATACATTCATGTTCTTCATCATTGTAGTTCTTTGGTTTGAACTCTTGCACAGTATTCCATTCTGTGAATATTAGGTAAGAGTTTTAAAAAGATGTTACACTGAAATAACCTATTTCTAGAGTGTATTTTCATACTTTTGATTAAAATGCATAGCTTTGGCAATTCAGGTTGTTTTAAATCTGAAGTTCATTTTAAACTACAATGGAGATAAAATATGTCCTGCTTTATTTTAAATTTGCCATATGAATTTTAAAAATTACATAAAAACAGTTATAGTGTTATGTATTTTAGTTTTATATATAAAAATATACATGTACACATTTATATTAAGATTATTTGAAACAGTATGAGGATATGATCTAAATCACTCGTAATCCAGAAACTAGATGCTAACTATGGAAGCTGACTGGAGTTTAATGATCGTACAAGCACCAGACGTCTGAGAGACAGCAGGATTTTTGTTTGTGTTCTTTCTCATTTTGAATGTCCTGAATTAGAAATTATACCAAATAAGCAACATACAAAAATGAAAGTTCTTCATAGAACATGCCATCTCACAAATTTCAGGGCATTTATTAAGTAACCAAAAGCTGAGGATAGGATAAATTACCTGAGACATATTGTGAAAGAAGGATATTTTGATGTACTTGAAGCAAGGCAAATTTCAAGTCTTCAGAGTTAAATCAGTCCATTTTTCATGAGTTCTGTAGGTTAACAGCAGTTTGTTTAAAATGAGAATAGTTGTTGAATCAATACTTTTCTTTATTGGGAACTTTAAATGGGGAGGGGAGCACAGCACATGTTTTGTACTATATAGCAAAAAAGAGCAAAAGATGAGAAAGACCAATCTAATGGAAAAAGAGATATTCCTGAGACAAAATGTAAAATTTTTACTTTGCCTTTCCAAATACACACACACACACAAATTTGTAGTTCCTCAAAATGTCCAGTAGCTACATCCAGAGGAGAATGCCCTCCAGAAGTATGGATCAAGAGAAGATACTAAGAGAGGGTAAACTTGATTTTGGATGAAATTTTTCCAGGCTTGAACCTGGAAAGGATAGATTTAAGTAATGTTTGTTGCTGATTTGTTTGAGTGTGTTGGGATTCAGAGGAAGAAATATGGAAAACTTTGGAGATTTGTGAGTATATATTAATGATTTTTATTCTCCCAGATAATTTCCTTTCAAGAGAAAAATGTGAGTAGTCATCTTTACAAATTAATTTTAAAATATAATTCAGACAACATTAAAGTTTTATAATTCTGTCAGTAAAACACAAGACTCTAAGGTTCCTTCTTACATACTGACAATTCTAATTATCCATACTCAAAAAGGTTTTTTACATCATTTTTCATTTTGATACAATGTATGCATTTTCATCTTGCTTATAGTCCCCATACAATTCCCACCCCCCCTTATTTTGACCATAATCCCTCCTCCCCTCCCCACCGCGCCTAGTGTGTCTCTGGTTTATAGTTGCTGTTGATTTTGCTTTATTATAATTGGTCTTTTTCCTGGTCCCTTATTTAGGTTTTCTAAATTCCTGCTATGACGGAGACCATCTGGTAGTTTTCTTTTTCTATCTGGCTTATTTCGCTGAACATGATCCCCTCCAGGTCCATCCATGTTGCTACAAATGGCATGAATTTATCTTTTTTGATTGCTGAGTAATATTCCATTGTGTATATGTACCACATCTTCTTGATCCAGTCATCTATTTTTGGGCATTTGAGTTGTTTCCATAGCTTACCCATTGCAAATAGTGCTCAGTGCTGCTATAAACATAGGGATGTAGGTGCCTTTTTGAAGGTTAGTTATCATAATCCCCTTAAAGTCAAAATACTTTACTCACAAAGTATCAGTTGCATTCATAAGCCATGTCAATTTGGAATTTCCATAGGCAATAGAAACCAAATTAGTTACCTCAGTATATGTAAATGGCTATTGTCTACTTTTATATGAATTGAAATTGCATTCTTTGAGTGATTAGAAAAACTTGGGATTGCTTTATACACGTTTTAATAATTCTGACTTTTTGCAAAATATGCATTTTCTTTTGAAGTATATAAATGTATCTCATTAATAATGCTTATTTTTCTTTCCCCCCTAGATAAAAGTTAAACAGCTAGAAGAACAACTACACTCTTTTACAGAAACTAATTCACAGAATGATCATCTACGCAAGTTAAATAAGACTCTAGAGGGCAAATATGCTCAGGTGAGATTAATAGCTGAAACAGATTGTTACTTTTGAAATTGATGCCTTCCATACAGTCCCAGAAAGAGATATTCTGTCATTTGACTCAATTCAACAAACATTTTTAAACCCCATTATGTACTAGGTTCTGCTAAACCATTGAAGAATTCATAAAAGATTCCTGAAGCAGAATTGGGACATTCAACCTATTTATACTCTGGACACTTAGGAGTGTACTCAAATAGAATGAAAAAGTTAACTTGCACAAACAAAATAGATTGTATTGTGAGCATTCACAGGAAGTATCAGTGAATGAAAATATCATGAAATGCTTACATTAGAGGAAGTGGTTTTTAATTTGTGCCTTAAAACTTTAAACAGATGTGTGCCTTGCTGGTGGCACAGGGGTTAAAGTCTCAGGGCTGTCAAGCTATCACCAGCCACTTTGGCATGAGTTTGAACCCTGGCCAGGGAGCTAATCCACATGGCACAGCAAACCTCTCCTGTCTTGCCCCCTGCTTCTCTCAGCAGTGTATTTCAGTAGATCTGCCTGTTCTGCTCCCTACTCTGTCTCTGGTGAATCTTTTCACACCCTGCACCTCTGGCCTACACCCCAGTTCTTGTATGCATAAATAAAAATCAATCTAAAAAAAAAATTTTAGACAGATATAAATCCACAACTGGCAGCTAACTTGAAAAAGTATTAGTAGTGGTGAAGGTGCTTACCTGTCAACATGTTGACTATTAAAGCCAAGACCCTTTTGTAGGTCACGTAAGCATTTTAACAAATGAATAAAGTTAGACCACTAAGATATTCAGGGAAGAAAATAATCCAGGAGTGTGTTACCCAAACAAAATGATTCAATGATTTAAAAAAAATCTCCAACTATCAATTTAACATATGTAACTTTTGTATCTACAACATTTGTATATGTAATCCCTGGTAACCAAGGAACTGGAATGTGTTTTCAGGTGGATTACTGTTTGGGTTCTAACCACCTGACTATACTGATGAGTGATGAGGTCACAAAGTTGGTAAACGGAGGCCTTAGTAGATACCCTCTCCTATAGGGAGTTTGGATTAAGGTCTGTTTTATTCACTAGGACATACTTCACAGTGTGATTTCTTTATTCTGAAACAAAGGAACACATTTTCAAATAGTTTCTATTGTGGCTTCATTTAGACATTGTGTTTCTTCTAGGAAGGGGGCACTCGTTGAAAAATAAGTCTAGGTTTAGTTGATTTTATTGTTTTTAATTGGTGATGCCTCCAAGAAAAAGGAAATCTCCTGAGAGGCCTGCATCTTCAAAATTCCTTGAAAGCTGGAGACCCCATGTAAACAATGTAAAGGAAAGAACATCAGTTGGTTTGCCCAGTGTTATCCCAAACTCTACAAGACGTGTGACCTTTGCACCTACTTTGCCTTCTATGAAATCGTCTCAGGAGATAGGAGACTCTAGAATATCTCTAAAGACTCTTTTGAATGCTATTAAAACCATGGAGGGAAGACTAGAAGGAAAAATAGACATTCTTGCCTCAAGACCATTAATAAATGATCCACCAAATCTTAAACGGGATTCGGTAAGTGAGACCACAAATAAAATTTTAAGGACATTTTATTTATACAATGAGGAAAAGTGTAAGAATTCAGAAAAATGATGTTTGGATGCATGAGTAAGAAGGAAAATTTTTCTTCACAAATAGGAAAAACGGATAGTGTACATGGATATATCAGTTTTGACAATAATCATTGAGAGCATGTAAATCTGATTTTGATTTGATAAGGCTCTAGTTTAAATTCAAAATATCTACCTTGATTGGTAAATTGTTTGGATAAAGCCTGATTTTAAAATAGATATACATTATTAGAAACCAGAAAGAAAACTTAGAACATCCATCTTTGCTTGCTATTCAAAAGTAGAAGTTACTAGATTGTCTAGAGTACACTGTTCTTTAAACACTTTTTGTCAAGTTCTGTAGTAGTTTATTTTAAAACAGTGTGTACTTTTCTGGAAAAAAATCCAGTAGGTTTTCAGAAATTTGGTTGCCTTTGTACTATTCTTGGATTTTTAGAAAATTTCAAGTATTTTTTTTTTTTTTAGATTTTATCTATTTTTGCATAGAACTGAGTGCAGGCCAGAAGTGCCAGCATTCACCAGGGACAGAGTGGGGAACAGAACAGGGAGATACTCTGAAATATTCTGAAATTGCTGAGGGGAGCAGCGGGCGAGACAGGAAAGGTCTGTTGAGCTATGTGGGTTAGCTCCCTGGCCGGGTATCAAACTCAGGCTGTCAATGGTGGGCCTTCAGAGGTAGCATGGAAACTTAACCCATAGGCCACCAAGGTAACCCAAAATTTCAAGTATTTCAAATGTTACAGGTTAAAAGTATTAAGGAAGTGTAATAATGTGAGAAATATGGGAAGAAAGGCCTTTGTTGCTATTGGGAGTGTAAAATGGTATAATTTCACCCCATAATTGTACTTTCAGGACTTTTCCTACAGATATACTAGCTTGTACATATGACATACTTACTGAAGTGTTCTTTATTAGTAGCAAAAGACTAGCAGCAACCATCAATAAGAGTGGCTTAAAAAATTATATTAGAAATGGATAGTTTCTAATAATGCTTAAAAATATATATCTAAATATAAAAGTAAGTTAAAACAATCAAGGTTCAGAAAACCCGTATTACTATTTGTTGTCTTTATCCCTGTACCCTTTTTGGACACAAAGTCCCCATTATCTGTAGTTTTGCTTTCTGCAGTTTCAGTTACCCATATCAACTGGGACCCAAAAATACTGTGTACAATAAGATAATTTGAAAGCAAATTCATTCATGTAACTATTTCACATAACTCTTTATAGTATAATTGTTGTAACAATACTGTTAATATCTTACTGTGCCTAATTTAAAATCAAACTTTATCATAGGTATGTATGTATGTATGTAGAAGGAAAAACAGCATATATGGATAGGGTTCACTACTATCTGATTTCAAACATTCTTTAGGATTCTAGAACCTATCCTCTACAAATAAGTGGGGATTACTGTATGTATATGCATTCACTTGACATGCTTAGAATATCTCTAAGATGAATCAATGAGTTGGCTGAGATATTTCACTTTTCCCTTTTTGAACATTTCATTTTCAGCAAAAGAGAAAATAAAGGATGGTCTTTTAAACAAGTAATGCTGGAACAATTAGATATCTACACAGAAAACCAAACAAAACCCTTGGAGCTATGCCATAGACCATATAAAATATTAATTCAAAATGGTTAAAACTAAAACTTCAGAAATACATGTGATCTTAGATTATATACAAAGATTTCTTAGATTTGATCCAATTTGATAAATTAACAGTTTAAGAGATAAGCTACAGTCTGGGAGAAAATACTTGCAAATCATGTATCTGACAAATCTTATCTCCAGAATATTATTAAAAATTCTCAAAAATCCCTTAGAGGAAAACAATGAAATATAAAATGAATGAGAAAAGTATTCATATAGAATAACTAAAAAAGCTAGATTTTATTTCTAATAGTGGATCACCATATTTAAACATTTTAAGTTTTTTTCTAAATTACTGTTTATTTACTGTGTTTTGGAAAGTCACTTATTTCTTTTTTTCTAAGGTGAAATCCATTCTTGAAAAGAATGAAGAGGCGCTCTCACAAACAGTGAAGTGTCGAGATGCAGCCCTGAAAGAAAGCCAAAAGTTGAAAGAGGACCTGGAGGCTTTGGAGGACAGGGAGAGCAAGAAGGCAAGGCATCAATACTTTCTGAAAGTCTGTTACTGAGATGAGGTGCTTATGAAATCTTTCACAAGGCATATTTCTTCATTTCCCTTACTTTCAGCAGGAAAGAATGAGGATTGGTCAGAGGAGGGTTTCCCTCCCTAAAGACAATTTTAGAAAAACTTCCGATATTTTTTTAACTTCCTGTCTTAATCAAATTTTAATTTTTTCTTTTTAAAACACATCTGACCTAGATAATACTATCCTCCTACTGATGTGATAACTGCTATGATTTCATGTTAAAACACTAAATGCTTTTTACTTAATAGCGTGTATGCTTAGTGGGAAGAGACATCATATCCCAAACTACTTGACAAGCAGGTACTAAGATTTTGCCTTCTAAAGAGAGCTGTGAGTTACATCATTCTTCAGGAGCTTACACATCTTCATAATGACTTTTTCTTCAGATAAATTCTGATTTCAGATATGGTCCCCTTTCCTGCCCCCATCATAACAGAGCAAGGTCAGAGGAGGTCAGCCTAGAATCACCTCTAGGCCCAAGAAATTGTTGATTCCAAAATCTCCAGTTACTATAAATGCTGTGACATGACCATAGTTAGGAAGCAGTGTTTTATTCATAGGATCTGAGGCCTAGCTTTCATTTTCTCAAAGTCACAGTAATTTAAGAAGCAAAATATACTTTATTTTTCTGAGCATTCTACCATGATCTGGCTTCCATACTCTTCAGGAGTAATGGTACTCAACAAGATAATAACCAGAATGGATTCTTATTTTCTATTAGGTGGGAAATTTTCAGCGTCAATTGGCAGAGGCCAAAGAAGACAATTGCAAAGTTACAATTATGTTGGAGAATGTGCTGGCTTCTCACAGTAAAATGCAAGGAGCCTTGGAAAAAGTGCAAATAGAGCTTGGGCGGAGGGATTCAGAGATTGCAGGCCTCAAGAAAGAAAGGTACCTGAGATTACTTGTATTTTTTTTTTCTGCTACTTTGTAGTAGGAAGCAGTATGCAGAAAGGAAAAGATGTCACTGAGAAAATGGTGTTTAAAGAACTAGCAAGTTAGGGGAAAATGTGGTATTATAAGATTTCCAAAAATTCCTGTATTTTGTAGTGATGTGAAGGAGCATGCATTCTAGAAATTATATATTTACCCTTGCTATTTCCTACATCATTTAAACCTGCCCTTGGGTCTACAGAATAGTAATCATCAAGATAATTGAAGTTCAGTGCCCACTTTGATTTTAATTAATTGGTCCAATTATTTCTATATTAATAATTGGAGATGAGTCATTCTGAGAACTACTTCTAGCCATTTTTTTTAATATAAGAAAGTCGTCCTTTTAGGTTAATGAACAAATGGTTTGAATTTAATAAGACCTCTAAAATATAGTGTATATATTGGTGCCATATTGCTTCTGTATGTTATGGGAGAACAAGTTACTTTTTTTATACATTATCTCAAAAGTTTGGAATGGTATTAAAAATAAAGCTCACCATCCACAATAAAATTCTAGATAGCTGTTGTATTTACAAGAAGAAATCTCAACAGCAGGCCAGTCCATATAGAGGTAACATATTTTGTATAAGAATTTTTTAATTATATAACAGTAGACTTCTATAACCTGCAGAATAACATTTGATGAATTTGTCAGTCTGTTCAGTGCCTTAATATCAAAACACTTTCTCATCCTGAGTAATTTGCTCATGTTCACAACAGGTAGGATTTAACCCTGCTATTATAGGCATACCTAAGGTATGAGTTTAAAGCCTAATCTTAACTACAAAACTCCCTTATTTAGCATAGCTAAATATCAACTATAATAATATAATTATCAACTATAATAATTAATTGGCAATTTGAGCTCTTATTGCACAGATATGCCATGTGTTACTTTCCTGTTTACCTGCTATTAATCAGAATTGTATTTGTACTGCTATTGTAAATAACCCTGTGCTTACAACCTTTGTATCAAAATTTGTCCCTACTTTGGACAATGACCTTATTGCCAATTTTTTTTTTTAAGTAGGAAATACAGAAACACAGAAAACTGGCAAGTAGCAATTGCATACAAAAGTAGTATTAAAATACAATAGAGTCTAAGGAGCATTTGAAAGTAGAGCTCATGGTATTAAATGTCAGCAGGCGGAATTGGAAAATAAGTGAGGCTGTCACAGAAAAGCGAGCTTATTACTAAAGTTAGGTTTTGTGGGAATCAACAGGTCATATTAGCAGCCTCACCAATAATGTGATCAGATCTGTAATCAAATTTTTTAAAAACAGAATTGTATACATATGTATAGTACATAATACCAATTTTGTTGTTTGATAGTGACAGTAAATACTCTTTTACAGTAGGCCAGGAGGATACCTATATTATATAAAGATGGATGCAAAATAGTCAAGACTTCTTTACTTATTAGTGATATAGATTATAAAATTGCAAGCCCATAAGTTAGTCATTAGTTTTCACTGATAGCCAAATGTATTAAACTGAGTCATAGATGAGACAGGTTTTTAATCTCAAGAACGTTAGTTTTTTAACCTGGAGCTAAGACTACTAGTTGTTAGCAAATAACTCTCAGATCCACATAGTCATTCTTTCTATGTGCTTGCCATTTTTAGGGCTCTGAATCAACAGAGAGTGCAGAAACTAGAAGCAGAAGTGGACCAGTGGCAGGCCAGAATGCTTGTTGTGGATTCCCAGCACAGTAGTGAGGTAGAAGCCAGTTTTATAGATGAAAATGTTGATATTTGGTTTATTGTACTATCACTGTTTTGAAAAAATGAAGCAAAACAATCAAGTTTTCTTTTCATTCAAGTGTGAGTTTTGGACATTGGGCCTATTAATCACTTATTGGCAAACCAGGAACACAATTATATGGTCTACGTTCCTTTCATTTCTTAATTCAAGTGACTGCAGGTGTTGTAAGGGCTTAGAACTTCACTTAGAGAGAAGTAGCTAGAGGGGCCTCCCCAGTGGCTCAGCGGTTGAGCTCTGGGTTGCGAGGCTGCCCGCAGCCCGGGTTCAATTCCCGGCTGCCGGGTTCAATTCCCGGCTGCCGGGTTCAATTCCCGGCTGCCGGGTTCAATTCCCGGCTGCCGGGTTCAATTCCCGGCAATTCCCGGCTGCGGGTTCAATTCCCGGCTGCCGGGTTCAATTCCCGGCTGCCGGGTTCAATTCCCGGCTGCCGGGTTCAATTCCCGGCTGCCGGGTTCAATTCCCGGCTGCCGGGTTCAATTCCCGGCTGCCGGGTTCAATTCCCGGCCCCGGGTTCAATTCCCGGCCCCAGGTGCCCAGACCCCTCCCTCCGCTCCCCCCAGCAGCTTACCTGTCAGTCTGCCTGCTCTGTTCCTCGCTCTGACTCTGGTGAATTCTCTCACCCTCCCGCGCCTCTGACTGTATCCAGTGCTTGTGTAGATAAATGGATAAATCTTTTTTTTTTTTTTTAAGTAGCTAGAGTCAGCCCACTATTAGTAAGGACACTTGCACTTGCAAGGAAATCCATGTGATATGCATATACATAAAACACGTGGATATTTCATAGATAAGGATTAACAACTGTTTGTTATACACTTTTCTAGAAAAACCTCATTTAAGGTGTAACACCAGAATATTCTAGGAAGGAGAATCTAACTAGTTTTTTAAATTACAATAAATTAAGTTGGCTCTATTTTCCAAAGTTCTCAGTGACCAATGAAGCATAGCCTTCTAAGAGTCTCCTACGCATTATTTTAAGTTGTCAAATATTTCAGGAAACTTACATCCTGTTTCCCACTAATTATTGTTCTAACAACACTTGACACAGTGTAAGAAGTGAACATGCAATATCATCAATTACTTTCATCTGTTACAGTGGAATTAAAAACACTTTTCTTTCAGATGGAGCCTCTACAAAATGCTCTTGATGTAGCTAGAGAAGACAATAGGAAATTGGCTATGAGTCTGGAGCAAGCTCTCCAGACAAATCATCATCTGCAAACAAAACTTGATCATGTTCAAGAGAAATTGGAAAACAAAGAATTTGAAAGACAAAATTTGGAAACCTTCAAGTAAGGGCAACATTAGCACATTGAATTTAGGAAAGAGCCTCTAGGACAGTAAGCTGGCTTGCTCACATACACCAGAGAACACAGTTCTCTCACTGTGAGCTAGTACTCCCAGCAGAGGCATGTTAAGAACCATGCATAGCTGAGCAACAGCAGATTCTAGGTGACCCAGGTATGCTCATTTAGATGGCCTTTGTAGCTCTTCCTTTATCCTGTGTCAACCTTCTGTACATGAAGTTAAAACAATTTTTAAAGAATACTGATTGGCAGGAACACCCTCATTTTTCTGTCAAGGCTACCAACAGCTGTTTCCTTTAAAAGCATGATTTGGAAAAGGCATAACAGTAACTGAGATGGGAGACTCCATCTAAGCAGTTTTGACCAGAGCTTAGGTTAAATCCATGAGTTCAGGAGAAGCCACTAAGGTTTTATCTAAAACTGCGTATGCGTAAATTTGATTTAGATAATAACAGTTCATGAAAACTTATGCACATAGGTCTTTATTCCTTTCAGTTAGTTAACATGTTACTATAAGAGAATGTGTTCCACTCTTTTGGTTTCATTTCTTTATATTGAGTAACTGGTTTTTCCCTTCTATTAATACAGTAAGGTTCACCTTGTAACAGATCTGTTTCTAGTTTATAAATCACACACCTTTTGAGATAGTTGCACATTGCCCTCCATATCTTTCTTACCTCCAAAGGTAATTTATTGTATCTTCTTCAAAATAGAGAACAGATGGCTGAGGAATCCAAAATAGAAGCAGAATTGCATGCTGAACGCATAGAAAGTCTAAAAAAACAGTTTCAAACTGAAAGAGAAGCTGTGAAGAAAGCAGCACAACGGGAAGTGACTGAGGTATGGAGTCAAGGGACCAAAAAAACTGTAGGAGAATGTCTTTTAAGAGAATGTAACCAGCTAGCAGATTTCAGAGAATGACTAGTTGTTCTTTGGTTTTTCTAATTCCCCTTTGACAAGCAGGACAGATACAACTGAGCCATCTCTGCATTATTTGTAAATTTGACACACCAAAAAAGTTTGACATATGATTACCTGGCCAGCAAAGGAATGCTTTGATCAGAGCACATCCATTGGAGACATAACTGAGTAGGACAGAGGAATAAGGAGATTGCCATCTGATTAACAGATATCAAATCATTTGTCCCATCAATTCACTTAACACATGAAATGTTTGCTAAATGCTCTTGTTAATTGTGACAAAGTAGAGAAAACTCAGAATCTTTCTTGGACAGCTAGAAACTATTTTAAGGCTGCTTGGGTAATAGAAGAAGGGAAGTGCAAAGAAAATACAGGATTAAGACCAGCAAGCTGGGGTATTTTATGTGAAAGAATTAACAAAACTTAGTTACATAAATGAGTAAATGAAAAGAATTTGCCTCTCTCTATCAGAGCAGATGACCTTGACTACCAGAATGATGGATGTGATATGTTAGGAAAAAGTGGAGCACTGTAGGTGTCTGAGAAGGGGTGCTATAATATAAGCATACTTTTAGGATGGTTAATTTGACAGCAGTAGAGAATAGCAAGCATAAACAGGAATTAGAACAGTTTTAGGTCATTAGATGATACAATTAAGTCAAAAGACCATTTTAGAAAAATCTATAAAGGTGTTATTATGAGCAAGAAGGATGGAGGAATTAAAATAATCCCAGGATTTGTAAGGGGTAGATGGTCTGTCATTATTTTTGTAGTACTTTGTAAATTGAAAATCACTATAGAAATACAAAAGATGTGGTAAAAATTAAATTCCGTGGGAAACAAAATACTGAAATTTGTTAACGTTTCATCAGAAATAGTTAATAAGTATCTCAATAAGAAGTATAACAATGGTGTGGGCTTGAGGGCAGGAGGTGTTTAAAGAGTTTTATGCCTCTTACTAGCAATGTGTTAATTTGCTATGTATGCAAATAACTTCTGAGTCTCAATTTCCTCAGTCACAAAACAAAAATCATCACAACTATTTTCCAGGTTTAAGGTTTAAATTGGAAAACAAAGTGACAGTTGTCAGGGGTAGTCAGTTTTAGACAAAGTTGTGATTGAGGTAATGGTGGAATATCTAACAAGAAGTTAGGTGGGTATTAATAAAGATCAACACTGACAGGAAGAGAAAGGGTATAAATAATTTTGACTTCACCTTCCTCTCAGATGCCTCTTTGTTCTACAATTATTTAAGTAAGCACTATGCTGTTTTCCCACTGAAAATACAAGGCAATACCATAAAAACACAGTCAATGAGTCAATAACTGACAAGTATTTATATAAGCTGCCATATAATTTTTCACTTCTGATGTTTCAAGTGACATAAGTGAAATACTAAAACATGGTAATAATTACTGAGAGCACTACATTCTTTATCTTATGTGAATTCTATACACATACTTTCCAGTGATGTGGTTTAGGGAAGTTAATTATCCCATCTCATTTGACTAGTAAGTTGCATAGCCAGGATTTGAAAATAGCTCTATATCACTTCAAAGCCATGCCTTAAAAAAACAAATGCTGGGGCCTCCCCGGTGGCGCAGCAGTTGAGCGCTGAGTTGCGAAGCTGCCCGCAGCCTCTACAGCGCTGGTTCGATCCCCGGCTGCTCCCCGGCCACCAGAGGAGGGTCCCACATGGCGCGCAGACCTCTCCTGCCGCCTGCTGCTCCCCTCAGCAGTGTACTTCGGTCCTCTGCCTGCTCTGTTCCCTGCTCTGACTCTGGTGAATTCTGTCACCCTCCCATGCTTCTGACTGTACCCAGTGCTTGTATAAATAAATAAATCTAAAAAAAAGAACTCAGAAATATTAAAAAAAAAAACAAATGCTGAACATATATTCTTAATCTGTCTGTTGCTCCACAGTCATAGTATTATAATCTCCCTTCCCTCTTTTTTAAAAGAAAGTCCTAAGGAGAATAACAAGTAGGGGGAAAAAATTAAAAAGCGTTCTAATTTTTCATTGCATTCCATAGCTGAAGAAAGCCCTTGATGAAGCCAACTTCAGATCAGTGGAGGTGTCCCGGACCAACCGAGAACTGCGGCAGAAAGTTACAGAGCTAGAAAAGACACTGGACAGTAACAAGGAGAAAATAAAGAATCAAAAGGCTCAAATTAAGCTCCACCTGTCAGCCAAGGCAAATAATGTGCAGAATATAGAAAGAATGAAGGTAGTATGAGAAACACTAAGATTTTCCCTTATTTCCTGATAAGGATCCAAGCAGGCAGGGCCCAGGGAAGATGGTTTCAGAGCACTAGTTGGATTATGTATTCTCTGGGAATTACAGCTATAACTAGGAAGTACACAGATTGCCTTGGGGGAGCAACTTTTTCCAGCAGAAATTCTGCTGTGTAAATGTTTTGAAACTTGCATTCTCGGGATCAGTGGACCACGTGGAAGGAGAACCAAGCAGGACTGATAAATCACTATGGGTCTCATGGGATTCTTTTTGTTATCCCTTAGGCAAAAAGAGTAAGTGAGTCTTTCTACTGATTATCTTATTTTCTTTCCAGCAAATAGAAACAGAATTGAGACAAATGGAGCTAATTAAGGATCAATATCAGAAAAAAAACTATGAACAGGTAGATGATTTCCATAAACTATCTTTACCAATCACATTAAATCCTTGACTTGGTCAGGTTCACCAACTATCTACCTCTTTGCGTCCTACCAGTCATTGAGTATTCAGAAATTTGTATTGGAAATGTCTAACCTGCAGCAAGAGATGCAGCTGTTGGCCAAGAGCCAATATGATACCTCAGCACGGAATAAACAGCAAGAACTGCGACTAGAGACAGAGCGGAAAATAAGGCAGGAACTAGAGACTCGGTGCCAGGTAAAAGATTTCTTAAGATTCATCTCAAAGATTAAGTTCTTCATCTTAGTCCTTAAAATCATAGCCTCTAGGAAGATACTTACAGATTTGAATAAGGCACATATTCTGTTGCCAACTTAATAAAAATGATAAGAATAGCTAAAATTCACAGACAAAATAATTGCATAAAACTTTTGAACGTAATTTCAGAAACTTTATGCTGCTTGGGTCTTCCCTGTAAAAGACCTACCTATTGCTATTGTAGGACTTTGAGCTATTTCCAACCTAATAAAAAGCATAACATAATATTACTGAAAAGGGACTTCATGATATCATCGACCTCTTAACAGAGTGCTTGCTATAAAAAGTATCCCTCCCGTTCTGGAAAGAGATGTTAATTACTTTTTCTCATGAAAATCGTTACATATCCTGTAAATTAAATATACTAAAAACAAAAATTTTATCTTGTATTTGGTAGTTCCTGAAGCTATAAAGTATCCTATCATTATTGTCAAATTTGGTTTCCCATTCATTACAACATGAAGTTTTTGTAGAAATATTTGTGTCATGTTTTCAGGAATTAGAAGAAACTATCAGACACTTGAGGAAATGTAAAGAAGTAACAGAGAATAAACTGAAAGAGGCCAGTGCAGAATCAGAACAGGTAAGCCAGACCCATGGATATAGACACATTTCCTCAAAGCAAGAACCAGTAACTTAATAAATTTTTAAATTGCAGTTCTTTGTGATTCTGATTGAAAGCAGCAATATAGATGGCAGGAAAATCCTGAACTCACAGCACACCAAAACAGGCAGGAAAGGAACTCAGCCTGGAGTTTCTCCCTGAGAAGTGAAAGATTTTGAACCCTGTATGATCCACCCCCCAACTCTTTTCACCTGAGACAACCCACCAAAATATGTAGCTTTAAAATGCAACAGGACTTGCACCCCTCAGACTTACTCACCTCAGGACCCAATACAGCCAATTGAGAGGTTTGTCAACTATGTGGAAAGAGGTTCATTTATCTTAAAACATTAGCATGAAGGGCTGACCTCTGATTTAACATGTATCTCGGGGCTGTTGGGCACCATCTTCATATACTCCCCCAGAGGATGGTTGTCATAATCATTTTGGTACCCTGGTTTTCATGGTTTCCACCCAGTGGATTCCCCTTCATCACCTGACTTTGGAGGCCAGGAGGACTTGTGTCCCTGGGTTCCACAAGACTATAAAAATCAGAAAAATTTTGGCAATGCACAGACTGAAACACACATCCAGTCTTCGTGAGAAAGTGTCCTATTTGCTTCTCAGCTTTCAGGATTGGTATTTTGGAGCCTACAGAGCACCTTCCCTCTACATCATAAGCAGCTTGTAAACTACTCTGGAGCATCAATTTTGCAACCTTGTCCCAAGGCTCACCCTTGTTATCCCACAATATTTTTCCACACTTTGAAAACCAGACTCTCAGAAAATAGTTTTAAATCAGTGTGTATCTAGGCATCTGACTGAGATCTTCCAGTCTTGGCACACATTCAACTAGGGGGAGCTACTAGAAATAAAGGCTGCTTAGATAATCACAAAGACTAAAAAAAATGAGCTCGCACAGGAGTGAAAGTAAGTTTCAACTCTTCTAGTCATTGATTCTTCTAATGCACAGAAGCCAATACACAGGTAGTCAAACAAAATGAAAATGAAAAGAAAGGAGTATGTTTCAAGATAAAATATCAGGTTAAAAACTGAATGCAGTTTACCTGATAAAGAGTTTATCTCTGTGTGTGTGAGAAAAAGTACTATAGTGATAGAACTGAAAAATATTGTAACAACTTAAAAATATACTAGCGGGTGTAACAAAAGAATAAATGAAGCAGAAGAAAAGATGAGGACAGTGGAACTCACCCAATGAAAGCAAAAAAAAAAGTGAAACTAATGTTTGTGGACTAATATTTACCTTTAAAGGGACCCCAGAAGAAAAAGTAAAAGAAATGATGGCTTAGAGCATCTCTAAATCTGGAAGATGAATAAAATGACCCCAAAGAGAACCAAAAAAGACACTTTATAGTTAAAATGTCAAAAGGTAAAGACAGGAAAATAGTAAGCACCAAAGGACTACCTCTTACGTGAGGAAGTCCCCATAAGGACTAACAGCAGACTTTTTAGGACAAGGGAGTGGCATGATATATTCAAAGTGCTGAACTTCCAAGAATACCCAGCAAAGTTACTCAAATTGGAAAGTTCATCTGGTCTAGTGTCATTTAACAGATTTATATGGAACATTCTATCCAAAAGCAACATTATATACATTTTTCTGTAATGCACATTCTCTAGGATGGGTCTCAAGTTAGGTCACAAAACAAGTCTTAATCACTTTAAAAAGATTATAATCATCCACAATGGCATGAAACTAGATATAACAAATTTACAAATATGTGGAGATTAAACAACATGCTAGTGAATAACCAATGGGTCAGTGAAGAAATCAAAAGAGTTTTTAAAAAATACCAACATTTATGAGATGCAAGCAAAGTGCTAAAGAAGGAAGTTTTTATAACTACATGCATCAAGAAGAAAAATTTCAACCTATCACTATATACAGGGAAGGAAATAAAGAGCATAGTGAAAAAGAGATTAAAAAGACACTAGGAATGACAAATGAAACTAAGGGATGGTGACATGGGGCATTCCTTGCTTCACTCTAACACACAAGAGGAGCAAGTAACAACTATTCAATAACAGAACACCTCTGAGAATCCTGCAGCACAATGGAGAGGCTAAAGCACTCCCTGCCCCTCAGAAACCAACACAAAATAGAAAGGGGCACCAGGGAGATTCAAGCTTCTGCATGAAAGGTAGTTGGAGAGGGATGTGCAGAGTGGTAGTATGGTGGCATTAGATTGCACGATCATTAGCCCAACCAAAGGGCCTGGGGGAGAGTAGAATAGAAGTGGTGTGTAGGACCAGACTCTTGACACAGGTGAAACTTAAAGGAGAGGAGCTCCACCATGGGCCAGGAGGAGAACAGAAACTTCTCTATCCCACACTCCTCCCCCACCCTTGGGATCTGTTTTAGTTTTGTGAAGTATACCAACAGGCAACAGCCAAGTCTCAGATCTGGCAACGCAAATAGGAGGGATAACAATGGTGCCACAGATACAAACCAGGCCTCTCCCAGTACATCCACAATAGTAGCACTTCCCCATTTCACAGCAGCAGCTCACCCACCATCCCCTGCTTGCCTGTGGCACATACAGCAGAAACCAAAAAAGGAGAAATATATAAATCAAAAGCACCATCTATTGGAAAAGAGAAAGATAGTCATTAATCTACCACAGCAACTTAAACCTTAAAAAGCAAGGAATAAAAGATGGTAGAGAAGCAAAATGGGCAGATATACCACGAGGCAACTTGAGACTACAAGGTAATACAAGAGAACTTCAGAAAACAAACACAAAGACATGGGTGCTAATCATCTACTGGCTAGGGAATTTAAAAATGCTGTCATGAAGAACCTCAGAGACATGAAAACTCAGAAAAGTAATTCAGTCATCTCATGAAGAAGGACCCCATTCAGGATATGAAAGCTATGGAAATAAACTTAGTAGGTCTGAGGATAATAAAAATAAGTGAGGAATTCCCAAACCTAGGAAAGAAACTGAATATATAAGTCTGAGAAGCTGACAGAACATCTGGTTATCTAAATACAAACAGATGTACATTAAGACAGTGACTATAAAAAGTCTAAGACAAAAAATATTAAAGGCAGCTAGGAAAGAAAGGCATGTAACATTAAATTGCTCCAATCAGGCTATCATTAAACTTCTATGTAGAAACTATAAGCCAAGAGAATGTGGAGCGTCATATTCAAAATAATGACAAAAATTTCAGTATCCCGAAAAAATTCTTAGATACAAGAAATGAAGTCTTTCCTAAACAAAAGCTGAAGAATTCACTGCCAGCAGACTCCTTTAAAAGAAATGTTGAGGGCCTCCCCGGTGGCGCAGCGGTTGAGCACTGGGTTGCAAAGCAGCCCGCAGCCTCTGCAGCGTTGGTTTGATCCCCGGCTGCTCCCAGGCCACTGGAGGAGGGTCCCACATGGCGCGTAGACCTCTCCTGCCGCCCGCTGCTCCCCTCAGCAGTGTACTTCGGTCCTTCTGCCTGCTCTGCTCCCCGCTCTGATGAATTCTCTCACCCTCTCGCGCTTCTGACTGTACCCAGTGCTTGTATGAATAAATAAATCTTAAAAAAATTATTAAAAATAAATAAATGTTGAAAAGTGATCGTTTAACTAAAAAAATTAAAGTGAACAGGCAATAAATCGAATCAGAAAACAAGGTAAAATGACAGTGGCAACCAAGCCCCTTTATGTCAATAATCACCCTAAATTTAAATGAACTGAGGTCACCAATCAAAAGTTACAGACAGCTGATAGGATTAAAAGTCAAAACCCAAATACATACTACCCAGAGAAACTTCTTTAAGCTATAAGAACAAACACAGGCTCAAAGGGACAGAAGATGATACTCCAAGCAATAGAACTACTATAGTTATATCAATGTTAACCTGGGTGTGAATGAGTAAGATGTCAAAGAGCTCTTTCCAATCCTGCAACCTCTATTCATGGTGTAAGTGCCCTTACACCATGGTGTATGTTTATCATACACCATGGTGTATGTTTATCATTGTTTCTCTTTCACAATGTATTTTTACTCTTCCTTTTCTAAATATGTTTAGATGTACAAATACCATTGCATTAAATTGTGTACAGTATTCAGTATAGTAACATGTACAAGCTTATAGCAATAGTTAATATAGCAATAGTCTAGAAGATAGAGCCAATTTATTAGTTATACCATCTAGGTTTGTGTAAGTAAACTCTCTTATGTTCACACAACAATGAAAGTGCCTAGAAACATATTTCTTAGATGGTATTCTGGCCATTAAGTTATACATGACTATACCAATAAGGAGTTTGTGTCAGTAATCAAAAACCTCCCAAAAAAAACAAAAGTTCAGGGCCAGATGGCTTCACTGCTGAATTCTACCTAATAGTTAAAGGAGCTTTAACACAATTCCTCAAAGCTCCCAAAAATAGAAGAGGGAATACATCCAAACTCATAGTACAAGTCTATCATTATATTGATACCAAAACCCAACAAGAATGCCACAAGAAAACTACAAGCCAACATTCCCTGATCAACACAGATGTATATACTAGCCAACCAACTTCAACTGTATGTTAAAACAGTCATACATCATTGTCAAGTGGGACTTATGCCAAGGATGCAAGGATTTTTGAACATTCACAAATCAATATGATACAACACATTAGCAAAATGAAGGATGCACACTTATATGATCATCTGAATAGATGCAGAAAAAGTTCACAAAATTTAATATCCATTTATGATAAAAACTCAACAAAATGGGAATATACATCAACATTGTAAAATTAATGTATGACAAGTCTACAGCTAACATCTTACTTAGAGGTGAAAGGCTGAAAACTTTTCCTTCAAGATCAGAAACAAGACAAGGGCACTCCTGGGGCAGCAATAGCAGCACAGGCCCCCAGTAAGACTACTGGACAAGGGCAGGGAGAGGAGGCACACCCCGAGGAGGCAACACAGACCCTGATAAACTCCCCAAATGAGTTTGGAGGTGGAGCC